CGCTTATAAGGCCGTTTCAATTTTCGATTTTTCCATTTAAACCTTGTTTCTGTGACATTTAGGGCGTCAGTACTTTATTGCGCTCCATCTACCGATTTCGATCGCAGTCGATTGAGACTTTTTAGACTTTTTATTTTTAGGTTATGTGCTTAAAACATCAATTAAAACATGAATGCTATAAGTATCCAAGATCCGAGCTTATTTTAGATACATTCTGGACTAGCAAAATACTAATAAATTAGAATTGCAAAAAAAAACATGAAATCATAACACGAGGTAGGTATAACTTATTTTTCTGCAAAGTGGTTTGTTTGTTGAGTAATCCGTAATTTTTGTGGTGTCTTTAATATTAAAATACAAAGTAAAAGGTTGTCCTTATTATTGTCTGCATAAATTTGCTTACCGCAAAACGTTTCAAAAGTTTCGAACCATTTTTGCCTTTGTTGCATATAGCTCTGAATTTCAAATAAGCGAACATCTTTTGCCACACAAATGAAACACAGTTTTTACCATTTCATACTATTATTTTGTAAAATTGAAGGGTATTATATTAATTTTAATTATTTTTTTTTGTTTTTATGGCCACTCTGCAGAAACAGTTATCATGGAGAATATAGCGGCCTTATAAGCGTAGCTTTTTGATTTAAATGGCCTTGCTGTTTACTACTGTTTGTCGTGAATTTACAGAAATCTGTAAATAAAAGCAAGTGGCGCCATCTCTTGGTTGTGTGTTTTTTATTAACATATTTGCCTATGTCTGTTGATCAACCCTGTTTATAATAAACTCATTTTTACTTCAAATAACATATACTACTTTATCCGCAAACGTATTCAAATTGAGGGTAAAGAGCAATACTATAATTATCAAGTAAATAAACAAAATAATCAGTTCGTTTTGCAACTAATCAAATTATAATAACACTTAAAAGCGTTTATTAATTAAACTAGTGCATGACTAGTGCAGTTAGTAGTAGTGCATGCTGATGATCTACAATAAAACTGCTGAAGTAGCGAAAGAGACTCGAAAGAAACAACAATGGTAAAATGTCAATAATGTCAAAGTAAAAAAAACGCTTAAGCCAAAATGCAGAGTTTTTACTCCATACCTGAAATAAAACACAAAACGCTTAGACGTAAAAACAGAATTTTTACTCCATGGCTGAAAAGTAAGACTTTTACTTGTGAATTTAGTCACTATAAAGGGTCAGTAGGGTCACTTTTGTGACGGATAAAAGATTTTTTCAATGGATTATTGATTTTTTTTTTCAGTTACAAGTATGACGTGGACAAGGAAATGGTGCAACTACAACTTGTCAACTCCGCCAAGTCCACCATCGGCGTCATTAGCTGGTTTCCCGTCCATCCCACCTCCATGAACAATACAAACTGCCTAATTTCCTCAGATAATGTGGGCTACGCCTCCGTCCTGATGGAAAAGTTCCTAAACAAAAATTCGCTCGTTGGCCAAGTAAAAAATCTGTTAATATTTTCATTACACAGTAACAATAAATCACGTCCCGAGTCATTATTCATTTGTGACACCAGCAAAATAATAATTTAGTTTCGTCGCCAACAAATGAGAGCTTTCGTTTGCAGGGACGGATTGTGGCGGCTTTCGCCTCGACGAATTTAGGGGACGTCTCACCGAATATTAAGGGGCCGAGGTGTTTGACAACGGGGGAGGAATGTGATGTGGTTTCGAGTACTTGCGACGGACAAGCCAAGCTTTGCGTGGCGGCTGGACCCGGAGACAACATGTTTGAGAGTACGAAAATTATCGCAGAGAAATTATTTGAACAATCTAAGGTAAACATTTGTATAATTAATAATTAATATATTAAAGTGGGAGTTTGAACAATTTTAAATGCAAATTATAATAACAATATACAGAGTCTATTCTTAATATTGGGAGATATTGCAACCACATCAAAAAAAAAAAAATACCTAGTGACGTGCTCATATGAACATCAGTAATAAGAGTAAAAGTAAAGTAATTACCGCAAAATAAGCACTTTCAATGGCTTATAAAGAAGGTAAATTATGAAAATAACTCAAGTGGTTTTGGAGGAACTAATGTATTTGAAACTAATGTATATGAAACTTTAACAATCTGTATCGCCGTTACGAAGCTTTATAGGACTATTGTTTATTTGACAAATTAGTGTTATTTTTCGATGAAGAATATATGATTGCAATTTTGAGCAATATTAAGAAAACACTCTGTAAAAGGCACTCGAATCTTTCTATCCTGTCAGTGATTTTTCAATATCCTTGAAATATTCATTAAAAGTATTATAAACTTTTGTCAAAAAAATAAAACCACCAATGCACTGGCATATCAAAAATTTTAAAACATCGAAAATGATAATTATACAGGCTGTTAAAAAAAGATTGTAAAATATTTCAAGAGGTAATAGTATGGACCAAAACAAACAAAAAAGTTTTAATAAACATGGGTCCGCAAAGTAACGGTTTCGGAGATTTCGAAAATTATTCGTTTTTTGAAACATTTATTTGCAATCTGTTCAAACAAAAAAGAGAAGTTTCTAGTAAAAAATCTAAAAACTTTCACATCCGATATCTACGAAACCGTTACATTGCGGACCCATGTTTATTACGACTTTTTTGTTTATTTTGGTTCATGCTATTATCTTCTAAAATATTTTATGTTTTTAACACCCTGTATAAGTTCAAAATCAAGAGAAACATTAACTTTTCTTTTCACTGAGTCTGAATAATAAACTCCTAATGATAAATTTTCTCGTTACAGGTTAAGTAAAAAATGTTATTTCTTTGCATTTTGTACGTCATATGAATACTTCAAAGTTGGTCTCGTTGTGAAGGGTTTTAGTGTCTTTTGATTTTGTAATTTATTTGGATATAACATAAAGTACATTTTTTATATACGCTCCCGAAGACAGCTGTTTTAGTTTTTTTGGTTTCTATGGTAACGAATTTTTTTTAATTAGTAAGAGGTGTAAATTCGTGTTTTGGGAGCTTTAACAAAAAAAAATTGTATGCACCACGTACGCAAAAGGTTTTATTAGGTGACTCCTCTCATTAAAGACTCGGCTCCTACGTCGCCTCGTCATTAATTACAATTCGTCCCCTAAAACCCTATTTTGCGTACTTGATACATAAATAGCTATTAATCACTTGGAACTTGGAACTTGTATTTATTAAACATATTTTGTTATTGTTTTATAAGTAAACAAAGTTTTCGAGGAAATATTGTTCACATGGTACTTAACAAACAACAATAAATATTTTTGTAGTGTGAAATAATAAATATCTTAAAATACATATTATCAAAAACGATAAATTTACGTTAATAATCAATGTACTCGTAGACTTGTCATTATTAGCAAAATATGTATTACGATGTTTCTGAAATAAATCGAGGACATGTCTCTTTTGTAAACAGTCACGTTTATTAAGTAGGTATGTTTGTTTTTATAACTATGTTAATAAAAATAGAGTACACATTGTTGTTTAATCATCTTTTCATCAACATGAATAAATTACGACAAAGTAAATTGAAACAAAGTTTCATGTATAGTAACAATAATTAATTGCTGTAACATTTTGCTGAAAAATATTCTTTTCACAATCATAAAATAGTGAAATGACCACTTTCGAACCTGAACTTATTGGTTTTCTGTTGAGGAGGATGATTGTGAATAAAATAGTAGGGGAAAGTTAGGTAAAATGGGATACTTAGTGTTCTAGGCCTCATAACTTTTTTAATAAAGTGATGTAATGATCATAGTTTTGGCTTCAGTTTCACGAATCAATAAACTTTTGATCACCATTTTCTTTTTAAGAAAAAATTGATTATACAAGAGAAACTTTTGTTTTTATTATTTAAGCGAAAAGTATCCCGTTTTAGCAATCTAGTTGGGTAAAACAGGTTACGTATATTTTTGCAGTTTTATTTTTTAGGATAAAGACACAACACGGTAAATACAGGGTGATTCAGATAAGATAATAAGCTCGACGTTCTGACGATGCAACCCAAAAAACAAATTTCATTTATGTCTTGATCTAATTTCAATTACTATTTGCATTTGCAATTAATGTTTCATTCTTTCATACATTTTGTATTGGGTTACACCGAAGAGACTTCTCTAGTTTCTCTATCATTCCGCGAGAACTGGATGACACTAATGATCGTTCTCTGCACTGAAGTCAGAGTGACATAAGATGATAACTTGGATTAAATTTGCATATCCTAATTTAAATTGGATCGAAGGCGTAAATGGAATTTGTTTTTTGGGTTGCATCGCCAGATCGTAAGGCTCATTATCTTTTCTGAACAGCCCTGTATATTGTTAAAACAACAAAAATAAAAATTATACTATTCAAAAAGTATCACAATACAGAAAAAAGACCCAATTCCAATTTCTGTTTTTAATTGTGTAAATATTTTATTTTTAAATCAGTTTTTCACACGTTGTTACCTATTAATTAAAAAAAAAATAGTTTTAAATAAACGCATAATAATTAGAACGACTAGACAATAAAAATCAAATGAAAGTTGATAAATATGTAAACATGTCAATAAAATTTTGGGTAATTGTAAATCCTTATCAGATCGCTATGTTTTCGGAGATAAAAATTTAACAATGCATAAACCATAAACTGGAATCAGTCTCAACATTCTTCATTTCACTGCAAGTTATTATATTAGCATTCTACCGACCCTTCAGTTTAAACTAAAATTAAAAAATATTTCAGATTCTTTTACAATCCGCCAACGCTAAAGAAGTGACCGGCCCCGTCCGACACATCCACCAATACGTCGACATGCCGACCCAAAACGTGACCATCGCACTACCCAACGGTACCATAACCCATGTAAGACCTTCGCTCATGATGGTTAAAAAAATTTTAATCTTGGGTCATTTGGTAGGTCACTGGATGCCTCCCAGCAATGGGATACAGCTTCGCTGCCGGTACCACCGATGGAGTGGGTGAATTGGGTTTTGCCCAAGGCACTAAATCGACAAACTCATATTGGAACACATTACGAGATTTGCTTTTCAAAGCGACGGAAGAAGACATCAGGTGCCAACATCCTAAACCAATTTTAATCAACTCGGGAAGGGTAATTTCATATTTAATTAAATTGGTACACGTGTAGCGGACGAAATTGCATGAGAGGTGAAATATAAGGAGATTCATGTTGTGCTTTTCTAGTTTTCAGCGCTTGATTTTCTTGAATACAAAAAGTAAAATGAAAAGGTCACTGACTTCTCTTGCAGTTATTGATCCAAATGAACCTTAAAATACAATATGACGCGGGTTTTTTTATTCAAAAGTTTGCCACATTCAACTTAAATTTTGTTTTCTAAATTAGTCTCATCCGCATTTTTTTCATTTCTTTCTTTTCTCTCTTTTTTTTATGAAATGATGAATTAATAGAAACGCATCATTTAAGTTATATACAGGGTGATTTACGAGGAATAATGAGCCTGACCAAATTTTCGATGCAATCAACATTACAGTTGTCACAAAATAACTTGCGAAGAGTATTGGTGGTTGCATCGAGAATTTGGTCAGGTTCATTATTCCTCGTGAATCACTTTGTATTTAATAGTATATTATGATACGAGTTTTATAAGAGCATTTTGTTGCACGTCATAAAGCAGTAAGTGCGACAAAATGCCTTATAAACGAGATATCATACAGTATTTTTTCTACTTTGCACTTTTTTAAACAAAAAAAATAAAATTTCGGAATGTAGGGAATTTCGCGTTGTCAACATTGCGCGGTGGCCAGATGGCTATGAAATAAATTAATTTGAAACGTCATTATTTATTCGGAATAATGAATTTCGAAAGTGTCGAAGATACTTTGCAATGTACGCCTCTAGAAATACGGACGGTTAGGTCGCCAACATTATAAGACTAAATTTCCCTCTTTTTAGTATAATTTTTATAGCACTGTTTTTGTTCAGTACAAAACCCAAAACAGTTTCGTACTGGGCCTTAGTACGAACGCAAAGTAGAAAAAAAATGATAAAACTTTTTTTAGTTAGATAAAGAAGAAAACTTTTTTGTTACTTTTCTTAAATTGCTCTTAGTTGTCAATAAGTTGACAAACACCTGATGCCGTAAATTGTAAAGTCTGGTCATTTATTAAGGAGAATGCCATCAATTTTCATAACGGTATAAGATCGATAATCCTGGTTTAATAATAATAGTTATTATAATAAAAATTAATTATTTAATGGTTCAAAATATGGCTATTTATTATAAAAATAAATAATGTATTAAAAAGGTTCTTTAAAGATTTTGAGTCCTTATCTCCAAATAGATTTAATTCTATTCTTTGTATTTTTTACCAAGTTGCGACAAGTATGGCCCTCCTGTCAGGGGACTGCTACTGGCCCAGAAAATGAATTTAGAGTCCTTGAAGCAGTAGGCAATTACTTGTCATTTTGACGTCTTCACTCATTTTTATCCAGCTCACATTGATTACTGACATAATTTAAATAAAATTTTATATCCAGTTACATACGCTAAAGGTATTTTTGGTTGCAAACTAATTAATTTTCAAAGTAACTCTCCTGTGACTGACCATGTATTTCTATAGTTATTTCTTCATTTTCTATAGAGTTCGTTAAAAGAGCTCGCGATACATTACGATTTGATTTATTAAACTGATATCTTTTTTGGTCTTTGGGGTTATCACTATGCAAAAAATGTTGTGTACAACTCGTTTTGAAAGCCCTTTTTTCAAAACTAGTTGTACAAATAACTATTAAAATTTGAAATTTTGACGCCTTTCTTGTTGATGATGGATGAAACGTTAGTATCCCTAGCAGCAGTTTGGTTTTTATTTTGCGGTTATAACTCTAAAGTTTTCTGTCAACTTCATTATCATTTATAAAAAATATGAGCTTTGAACTTTTTCTTAAAAAAATTTAATTTATTCAATTGTTCCTTCTCTCATGATTCAACTGTTATCAATCTAGGAATAATCCGTTTTTTGTGTTTTTGTCTGCAATTTTTATTATACTTTATTTTTATTTTTATTGTAATGAACAAAAAAACGCTTTTGCTAATTAACGTGTAAACATATTTTTTACTACGGTTTTGTTTTTTCACCTCTACACAGTTTAATTAATTTTGTCAATTAAATTCGTTGCGTTATTTGTATTTTCGAGAAACGGTACAAACGCTTTTATTTTTTCTTCGCAGACTCAATCAACTTTTTTATTAAATAAAAATTCGCTCAAAAATCATCTCTGCTTTAATTTCATAAATATCCCCTCTCATTTTTTTTATATAAATTTAGATTTCGATTCCTTACCAATGGCAACCCCGTATTGTTTCCACTCAAATCGTTCAAGTGGGTGAAGTGCTTCTAATTGCCGTTCCCGGTGAATTCACCACCATGTCTGGCAGACGTCTCCGAAATAGCGTGCAGGAAGCCGCCATCAGTAATGGGGCTTCCCCTGATACAAAGGCGATCATTACTGGCTTGAGTAACGTCTATACTAGCTACATTACAACGCCGGAGGAATACCAAGTAAGTGCTGCAGCTATCGAAATTGGTACACTGTTGTATAATAAATGGGAAATTCCACAGTGGGCGATTTATTTAGGGCCGGTGGTGGCGACCAGTTTTGCGGTGGCAATTTTAAAATTAATTGAAACGATTGTTCCGCTAAATTTGACTTGATTTTGTTGTTTTGCGGATGTAAAAATTATTTTTATTGCCTTTTGGAACTACAAATTTGACGGCAAGGGAACAGGCTATAACGGTTAAGGATAATCGTAGTATTTTAAATTGATTTTTATTGAAAATTGGAATCTAGGGTTTCCAACTACGTCAAATTTGTGGAGTCTCTTTTATTCGCAAGAATTTATTTGATTTTTATTGTTTGCTTACCTGAAATATGTATTTTAATAAATAGAAAAGTAACTTAAAACTTGGGAGTTGCATCTGAATTTTAAATCAAAATTGTTAGTGTTTACTCAGTTTTGAAAAGAGCCAATCTATAAGAACCGGTGATCTGTTATGACATAAATATTTTACGACTTCTTCATTGTAGCAAAATAAAATCTTTGGAATATTTGCACTTCATAAATATTTTGCATTGAATCCACACCTAAAAAACTATTTATGAGAGAAATATCGAACGATCAAGATAATTTGTAATCGAGTCACCTTTGCATCCAAGAACGTATGTCTAAGTGCACGTGAAACGTCAAATAAAATGACAAGTCAATAGGTAAAACGGCAAAATGGGCTGGAATTAGCCGCCGACGTATAATAATACGAGTAGGACCGTTTTTTTTTTTTTTAAGTAAATTATAAATTTAGTTATTATAATCATCACCTTTTTGATTATGCCATTTTAGTTTTCGACTTGTCATTTTACTTGACATTTTACAGACATACGTTTTCGAATCCAAGGTTGACTCGATTACAAATTATCTTGATCGCTCGATATTATGATACCTATAAAGTAGACATTACGATGGGTTTTTACATTTTTCTTAGTTTGTAATAAATTAATAAAAAATACAGTAGGCATATCTCCTGATTGAGTTTACAAAAGGAAACAATTTTGCTATCTTTGATTTTACGCCAAAACTGCAAAGGAAAAACATTTTTTGCTTTACCTGAAAAGATCAAATCTGCAATTAAAATTTTATTATTCTTATTCAGTTTATTTTTCTTTTGATTTTTGACTTAATAATTTTTCTCTGCTTTATAAATCTTACCACATTGGCGGTTTTGTTTATTTGACAACATGTCCTTTTGACAATTAACTCATTCATTGAATAATGATAGTTTTTATTAAAAATGACTGTTTTTTATCTTAAAGCTGTGCCATTTATTAAAATTATGTTTTTCAAAAACATTTTTTAAAATATTGCTTCATATTTAAGAATAACCCTGTATATTATAAGTCCAAAATCAAGAGAAAAATGAACTTTTCTTTCCACTGAGTCGGAATAATGAAGTTTTAATTACAGATTTGCTCGTTTCAGGTGAAAGAAAAAATGTTTTTCCTTTGCAGTTTTGGCGTAACATTAAAGATATTTTTTTTCCTCTTGTAATCAATACATACTGTAGGTATATTTGCTGAAATTTTTGTTTGTTTGTAAATAGCCTTGTAAATAGCCAACATAATAAAAACTTTTTAGGGAACTACAGATTAGCAATAGTGTCCCTAATTTTTTTTCCCACAATGAACGAAAAATAATCTAATATTTTAATACTATTATTTGCATCTTTTCACCTAAAAGTAGGTAAATAAAAAATTTTACTTTTCCAAAAAATAAAAATAAAAAAAATGCAAATTAGAATTATTATTAAATTACATACCTAGATGGGAAGTGCGAAGCGCCGCGGTCAGTAATAAGTCGAAGTACGATAAGCAACGACCACCAAGGTTTGTATACTAAATTATTAATTATTTTATTCACATTCAACGGTCTTAAAAAACAGAAAGCCGATAAAATTTTGAATAACTTGACATATGAAATTCAGGTTGGAAAGTGGTCAATTCCTTATCATTTGTTGAAGTTGGGAAGTGGCCATTTCTCAACATGAACTGTCATATTACATACCTAATAAATGATTAGGAAGTGTCGACTTTCCAACCTGAACCTGATATTTCATATCAATTGTTAAAATTAAAATGTCGTGCTTTCCAACTTTTCACATGTAATGAAAATGACTGTGAATAAAGAGTTTAAAAAATGTTCGGTTACAGATTGCTTTGTTTCTTTTACATGACCTCACTTCTAAGATTAAAGTGGCAATCAGAAATTAGCAAATTTGTCTATTCATTTGTCGAGAACTTATCTGTATTGTTTAAATAGTTATTAGTTTATTATTTTTTATGTTATAATTAGAATAATTTTGTACAATTAATGAGGTTTTTGATTCTCTATTAATTTAATTTTCTGTATTTTGTAGTTTTTTGAATCACATTATTCGTAATTAGTTTTCAGGAAGTATTTTTAAATGTGTAATATGAAATCGTAAAGTTTTGTGTTAGTTAAGTAATTAAGTGTAAAATAGCTGATGTCATATAAATCAATGTTTTATGACACAGGTAAAACATTTAATCGACCATAGTTTTAATTTATTTCTATACCGCTATACCGCTACTTGGAATATAATACCAATATCAATATCAAAGACATTTTCTAATTTATACATAGTTTTAGATTCACATTTATATACAAATATTTATTAACGCCATTTTTCAACTTCAACTGTCATATTATATATCAACCTGATAAGAAAGTGACTACTATCCAACTTTTCACATGCAAGGCAATTTGATTACATATTACTTTATGATTGTGAATAAATTTATGTTACGTATTCCGTTTTTGGCTGAAAATATGATTGGTTTAAAACCTCTTTTCATTTAAATGTAAGATACTTTATCACCCAAATTAAGTTACTACTTATTCCGATCCTTATAGCTTCCTTCTTGTTTATATTCCTATATGAATTTGATTATACCTAATCCTGTCTTGAAAATTTTCCACAGATATTACAACCCAAGCATTTGTATTTAATATCCTGAAACCTTTTCAGCTTAATTGATACCCAAACCACGTAGAACAACATTTCCTCCATATATTACGCAATAATAGGCATGAATTTAACAAGTCCTTACATTCAAATCAACCATTTTCATTTTCTCCCCACTCTAATAAATAACATTACAGAAACATAATTTTTTTCACATTAGATATTAAATTTTTTTTTCAGATGCAGCGATATGAGGGAGCTTCCACTATTTACGGGCCTCACACGCTTACGATTTACATAGAAAAATATAAGGAATTGATAAGGGCTCTCCTGAAAGTATGTTTTGCTTTAATGTCAACGCAACAAAAACATATAATTTTGTATTTTTCAAAGGAAGAAAAGCTGGATTCTGGCCCTTTACCTGTTGACCTTTCTCATAAAGTTATTTCACTACAACCTGGGGTTGTGTTTGATACTCCAGGTTTGATACATCATTTCGGCGATTGTTTGCTCCAACCTCCAACGCGAACAAGAGTGAGGAGCAAAGTTCGAGTGAAATTTGTAAGTCTCGGTTTTTGGTATCGAACGAAATTAAATCGGGTACAAAAAGCGGATGTCTGATTGTCGGCGAGTTGAGTGAGGGTTTTATACGGAATTTAAGGATTCAAGGTTTATGTGAAATCGGATATTTGATTTAAATATAATGAGAAAAATGTTTGAATAGAAATGCCAAGAGCTGCTCGAATATTCGATGATGCGATTTTCTGGTTTTTTTTCCGCATAAATTCTTTGTTTACAATAATTAATACAAGTATAAAACCAAGCGTTTTTTTAATTATTAAATTTATTATTTTTAGAAAATAATAATTAATAAAAACTAAAGTGCTGTAAAAATGTGATGGTGTTTTGCGAATGAATTTTTTTTGTCAAATTAACAACTTATAAGAAATTTTTTTTGATAAAAATAGTTGTACTCATTAAATTATAGTCTTTGTAATAAAGATTTTATAGTGTGTTGCCATTTAAATAAACAATTTTGCAAAATTAAAATAATAAGAGAAAAATTTCAAGGAAGATAAGATACCAATAATATGAAAAAAATGTTTAAAAAATTCTCTGTCAAAAAATTTTGACATTTATTAAAAAAAATTGCTAATAAAAGCCACAAATAACATTGAACAGAGTAACAGTTTGTTTCCTCTTCTAATAACCTGTAGCAAAAAAACTTGGAAAGTTATTTTTCCAACAGAAATAAATAGAGCTAAAGTGCAAAATTTAAACTCTTATAACATTGAAATTTTTATAGATAATTAATTTTTTTTAATATTTTTTCCATGTTCCTGGTATCTTACCTTATATGGTATTTTTCTCTGGGGCGCGAGTTCTGGCGCACCCTGTATAATTCATCAGGACGGTAAACTTTTTTGAATTACTCTTTATACGCAAGCAAAAGTTTTTGCTTACCTTTTTTGAATCTGGCCCAAAATCTTTATTGATATTTTTTCTTGTTAGTAGTTTTCTAGTTTAATGATTCTATCAATCTTTATTTATTAACGGATCTTTTTTTGTGAAAAAAAATTAATAATAGTTATTAATGGTCAAACTTAAGCTGAATTTTCAAACGAAAAGTTTAAATAATGTTATGCCACATTGTTTTCAATAGTGAACAAGCTAAGTATTACAAGTAAAATAGAAATTTAATTTCAACATTTTAGAAAAAAACATCATTGTCATACTTATCCTATAAAAAAATTGAAAAATTTTATTATTAGGTTAACATCAGTTGTCATTTAACATTCTAAAGATTCTTTATTTTTTATGACTAAACTAAGAAATGAATTTAAAAAAAAACACTTCCTGGTAGATTTTTAATAGAAATTTATTATTGTGGTTTTGCGATTTTTGACTAAAATTTTTGTATGATACTCTTAATTTTTCTAAAAAAAGTTTAAAACCATATTAAACCTTTGACATTTTTGTAATATTTGTTTAGAGTTAAACAAAGTAGTTAATGAAAAAATATCTGAGTAATAAATAAAAATTCTTCAACTTTGCCAATTTTATTACTTTTTTTCTTTTGTTTGTTTAGAAAAATGCCTCACAAGGAAATTCTAAAAAACCTACTTTTCATGTATGTTTTTTTCAATAATTAATACTTTGTTTTCGCAGTTCATAATTTCATTTAGACTTTCCTAATTGTTTTTAATAACCCGAACTCGCCTGATTTTTCGGATCGTACTTTTCAATTTAAACTTTTTCTGATTTTTTCCCATAACCTAGGTGTCTGGCCACCCTCGTAATAATTTAATGAACGAAAAAACTTTTCTCACTGTTGAAAAATTGACAGACGGTGACAAATGGATCATCGTTGCTACCGATGCGGACTGGGAAACAAAGTGAGTAAAACGAAATTGCATAGAAGACAAAACAATTAATTCTTGTTTATAGTCTTACTAATTTGTGTTTTACTTAATTATTAGGTTTATTTGGACGCGGACTTCTACTCTAATTGGTGGAAGCGAAGCAACAATTGAATGGGAAATCCCCTACGATGCAACTTCGGGGCTTTACCGAATACACCATTTTGGATACTTCCAACATATTTTTGGCGGAGTTCATCCATACAGCGGTGTAACTAATACTTTCCAAGTTATTCAATAATTGTAAGACTGACAAGTACTTTAATTAAAATGTATTAGATATCTTGCCATTGTAGATAAATAAAATTGTTTAAAAAAGTTATATTTTTTTTATTATTAATATGAATTATGGTTAATTATGCCAAAAAATAATACATAACGTACATACTGTTTAGTAATGATTCTTATTTAAATCGATGCAATTAAATGCAATACAACGAACACAAATTAGTCGCATTCATTGAAATAAACCAGATGAGCAATGTGTTTTTAACATAGATAAACATTTTAAATATTTTATTTGCAGCACATCAGATAATATTCTACCTACCTCAAGACTAGTCCATCTTTAATTGTGTTTATTTATGAGCACTCCATGTCAATTAAATCGAAATTTTCCATTTATTTTCTTTAGTTATAAATATATAACCTTCCTTATAAATAATATTGCATATTTTGCTAATTCGGGAGCTTTAGGCGGATTGGATGGATGCATTTAAACACTATAAAATTAGACGGTATTATGAATATTATTATATTAAAAAAATAGGAACATATGTGTGATAACAAACAAATAAAATTATTCCATTTCTGTAAAGTCGCGCCGTTGTAATTACTAATTACCGACCTTTATTGCTTACAAAAAATAGAATCATGATAATTATATTTATTTTATGTTGACTTATCTTCAATAATTGCAAATTAATCGGTGTCGCTGCTTTTTTAACAATTTTTTAACAAACATTTTTGTTTGTGTTTTTAATGATTCTTTACATTCAATGTTGCATTATTAATGATGTCTATAAAAAATTTTACAAGTCATTACTTTCTTTGTGTCACGTTAATTAATGTCTCTGTATGTCGTTTAGTTTTTCAGACATAAAATACTTAGTAGACTTCTACTGTGTCCTGTGTACAAGGCTTAAAATAAAATATGTACTAATAATTGTCAAAAAAATTTGGACAAGTCTATATAATTCAGAAAAGTCATAAACTGGATTAAAAAAGTTATAACTCTTTTTACAATCACAATTATTGGTGGCAGTAGAATTTGATTTGAAACATAAAAATTTGATGGCCTGACACAATTTTAATGCTATTGAAAATTTATTTTAAAGCAGTTATTATCAGTTTAATTAACATTTTGAATTAATTAAATAATTTTAAACCTTTTTTTATTTGCAAACGTTACAAAAGTGAACACTTTTATGACTAAATGTCACAAATTTTACATTTCAGCCATGAAGTAAAAAATGAATTTTTGCGCCTATAAATGATTTTATTTTTACCATGACATTATTAACATTTATCAATGTCGTTTCTCTCTTGTCTTTTTTGCTGCTGGAACAATTTCTGTACATTTGACATTTTGCACTACCAACTGCACTAGTTATTTTAATAAACACATTCGAAAATCTCAACACAAATTCTAAAACTGCAAAATATTATGCTTGAATTTTTTTTCGAAGAAAAAATTCCCGGTATTTTTGAAATCTTAACGTTGGCAAACCAGCATATTACCGCCCAAGGGATAAAATGATAGTACTGCTCATGAGATTTAATAATGTGTTTTCCAACCTTTAAGAGGTCAGTAATCGGCATATTATTACATTAGTGATTGTGATTAAATTATTTAACGAGCATATAATAATTGTAATAATTTATTTTTAATTTTTTAATTACTTGAGTGAATAATAACTATTGTATACTATACTTTACCCACGGCTATGAAATATTTTCGATTGTTGGTGCTGACAAAAGTGATGTTTTAATTTATAAAATGACGATGTGATATTGCGTTCAAAGAGTAAGCCCTACAGGAAAGATAGATTTGTGGAATATGGCTTTATTGTTTGTGGAATATGAACTAAATTATATGTCTATGGATATGCATATGATCATTTTATTATTTAATAGTCGTGGATAAAATTGTTTATCCACAATCACTCTATAAAGAGACTTTATTCCACATTTTAGATGCGTATAAACTACCAGTTTATCCACTAGTGGAATAAAGTAACTTTATTCCACTGTTAGTAACCAGCGCACCGCGTAACCGCTTAGTACGTTTAACCGAAAGCACATTTGGCGTTGCCGTTTAAATGTCAGTTTAATTTTTAATTAAGTTTGGAATAATTTGGGCCTGTGATTGTGGATAAAACGTTACATTGCAGTAGTGTGTGCTTTTATCCACTTAAGAAAATTAACTAATTAAACATTCTTGCGTGGATAAAACGCTATTTAACACACTCTTACAATAAATAACTATTATTATTTGTAACATCCAGAATAAAGTGAAAATTTCTATTATTAATTAGCACACAATTTAAAACTGTTTAAGAAGCACATTTTTCGATAAAACTTTGTCAAATTAAGTAATTATAGTTATTATAATATTTCAAGTTTTGAATTGAAATAAAACTTGTTATAAACCCGTTTGAAGGTTCTTTCTCTTCTCGAAAAGTCTAAATTTGACATAACCTAAAGTCTATTTAAGTTATTCGCACCTGCTGATGCCAAGCTGTAATTAAATCAACAAAAAAGCAAAATTTCCTGCTGAATCGTTTCCTGCGCATGAACCCACGCTCTTGAATGAAGCAACAACATAGTCTTCGCAGCAGTCCTGCAACCGCTTCGCACGAGGCATCAACACCAGGAAATTCCTCCGCGCGCGCTTTCAGCGATGTCCAATAAACTTCCGCAGAGTTTTCGTTCGGAACTTCCGAACTAAGCGTTCGCAATGGAAGACTACTTCGTCAATAACTTCACCGTGGAGTGCACCGAGGAGGTGATGGGCCCAAAGAGGGACAGTTTGTACATCGTCATCCCCATTATTGTCATCTACGGGGTGATTTTCCTAACCGGGACCATTGGGAATATTAGTACGTGTATCGTGATCTCCAAGAACAAGTCAATGCACACAGCCACAAACTATTATCTCTTCAGTTTGGCCATTTCCGACCTTTTACTGCTGTTGTCGGGTTTGCCACAAGAGATTTACTTGATTTATTCGCGCTACCCTTACATTTTCGGAAGCGCTTTTTGTTTCCTAAGAGGGATGTTTGCTGAGACGAGTGCCAATGCGACGGTATTGACCATTACCGCCTTCACCGTTGAGCGATATTTGGCCATTTGTCATCCTTTCTTGTCGCATACCATGTCGAAGCTCTCCAGGGCAGTTAAGCTAATTTTGGCCATTTGGCTGGTGGCGGTGGGGTTGGCGGTGCCCCAGGCCATGCAGTTTGACGTTGTCGGACCTCCGGATTGTGAACAGTGCGCTTTTGTGAAACCCATCATTCAACATTCTTTTGAAGTGTCGACTTTGTTGTTTTTCGTTCTGCCGATGAGTCTGATTACCGTGCTTTACATTCTGATAGGACAGAAATTGAAGTCTTCGACGATGATGAAGAAGAGGAATGTCTTCGGGAGTGCTGCCAGTTCGAGGGTACAGACCAAGTCGTCGAGGAAAGTTGTAAAAATGTTAGGTGAGTTGACCCAAACCGGACTGAAAGAGCCGTTAGGTAAATTTTTTTTAATTAATTTGTCACCCAGTTTCGCTAGAAAGTCGGCCTAGTGTCGACTGATAAAAATTTCAAGTTCAAGACTATAATTTGGAGGTTTTGAGACGACCTTGTTGACGTGTTTTCAATTATTTTTAGATGCTTTTGTTGCATCTGACCCGCCATTTTGTGTTTGTTGTTTTTCTTGATATGTTTCTCTACCAATGTTTACCAATGATTTGAAAAGAATTGGGTTTCATTCAAACTTTTTAGACGTTAATTTGTTTGAAAAGCAATTTTGTATCTAGCTTATTGAAACTAGAAATAATTTATGTCTGAAATTTATACCACATTTTATCTTATTCGAGGCTTATCCGTGGCAAACTCATTTTTTTAAATTTATATCCCAAATAGGCTTTTTTAGTTTATGGTGTGATAACAGAAACTTTATTTTATTCTGACTCAGTATGGTGCACCTACCATATGTTGTACATACATATAAAGTAGTTCAAGTTGGCAAAATTTATTACAAATGTGTTTATAATCATAACTGTTTTCGTTTAATAATTCAAATTCATTTAAAATTAGTATTCACTTGTATTTTCTATTTTTGCAGATTCACAATTCCCTTTTTAATTTAATAATACGAGTAGGTATACCAACACGTAAAATCATTTTCACATTTTGTAAACGAGTTGCATACAACAATTTTTTGCTCTCAATAAACTTTCAATGGGAATGACAACTTCTTATAGTTAATTTATTATGGTTTTGTTTCTTTTTCGTTTGTTGTTTTTTTTGTAATATTGTATTAATTTTTAATATTGTATATTTTTTAGAAAGTTAAAGACTTTTGATCTGATCAAGAAGTCATTGTTATTTTTTTTCTCTAACTTTTGATATTTGACCCAGTAAATTATAAAAAAATCTTGCATGGCTATTTATTTATTTAAAAATTACAATTATTCTATATGCCAAAGTAATAGAGATTTATTTATTTATTATTTATTTATAAATGTTTATTTATAACTAAGAATGCACGTTTTACATGAAGTTCTAAATTTTGGGAGAAAAATGCTGGAACAACTTATGTCTTAATCTATTACAATTTTTTTACCTATTACAAATTAATTAATATTTCTACGAAAAAGCATTGTGTTCTATTATGCTTCTAATGAGACTCCCTAAATGACTTGAATTCGCTTAGTTTGAATGTTCTGTGATACAAAATACTTTGCGCCTAACCAAAACCAAAACTTTGTAAACAAACTGGTTTTGAAACACTGAAAGCATTTGGAATTACCAGGGATATAAGACGATGTGCCAAGAGTAAAAAATTTAGTCAAGGTTGATGATGCGGCATATCAGGATTTTTGTAAGTTTCTCATAGATGTTCTTTTGTTGATGTTTGTTGGCTATTAGCATAGTCCATAAAGAGTTTTCTATTTGCTCCTAAAAAAAGTTAGTAATAATTTATCACTTTGAAAAAAAAAGTATCTATTTTCAGGATGCGAATACAAGAATAAAGAAGCGTCAACGAGTTGAATAAATTAAGTTCTGTGATAAAAACTCTAAATAAATTTTTTATTAAATTTTGTGCATTTTATTAAGCAGCATTATTAAAAATTCTTATTTTAATTTGGGTTCAAGTAAAAAATTGTTATATGTCCTGCATAGTTTACTTATTTTTTCCCAGCATTATCACAAACAAGTTTTAAAAAACTGAATTATAAAACGCGTTTCAAGGCAAAAACGGCAATTTTTATATTTGCAGTGGAATATTCAATATTAATACAAACTTTAATTTGCATATTTACATTAATTTGGTCTAATTAGGAAGCCCACCATGTTACTGCAAAAAAGTTAGATTTGCTTGCTTCCGCTGAAGTATTGACAAGTATTTGTAATAGGAATAATAATTTTTATTCTTCGACACTGTCAAATTTTACGGTTTTTCTCTAGTGTAAGGAAGTTTTGACAACTGTTTGGCATTTCTCAATACAAAACGTCAAATTATTTTTAACAGATTTAAAGCAAGTTTAAGTCTTGTTGACTCTAATTCGAAGAATAAAATGTTGTATTCCACTCGTTTGAGTGTAAATCGGACGCTTTATTCCACCTCGTGGATGGTAAACCACTCGTTACATTCGTGGTTTAAAAATCCACTCGGTCAAATAAAGAGTCCGATTTACACTCAAACTCGTCGAATAAATAACTATTATATTTTCCCCTTGTTAGTGGCACAAACATTTTTAATTATTTAATCACTGTAATCACGAAATCTCAAATCTAAAACTGATTACATCATTTTGATTGACACAAAATCTATTCTTGGTGTTTTACAATCTTTGTGGTAGCACATCCAAAACAAATAAAATTATTATTGCGACTTTAAAACTCTCTAAAAAAATTAATTTTGCTTTAAATATTACAGAAACCTTGTGTATGTTTATCAAGTGTTTTGTTCAGTTGTTCTGGGAATATTTTGCATTCAAAAAAAAAAAATTTGTTAACATACAATCAAAATCCTGATACATATTTATTCCTATAAAAGCAACAAGTACAAGGTCGTGAAAAATCAACAGGAGTAGGTAGTAACCCATTTATTGATCTCAGTAATGTATTTTTTATCGTTGTCATTTTTCTTTAAAATAGTTATTATGTGGGTGGAGCGCTTGTCTTAGTAAATCGCTCGACCGGATGTTAATTATCTTGACAATCAGTTAACGTCGGATTTTTCACTTGTGACATATTCGTGACATAAATTATTATCTTATCAATTAATTCGAAAATATTAATAATGGGAAATCAGGACGAAATTTGACACTTGCTCCCAGACTTCCAATGAGACAAATTAATATCTTTCTAGACATGTTCCTGTTGATTATATCCTGTATCCTTGAATATTCAATCAGTTCCTTTATTAAACTGGAAGTAATTAAACAGTTTGTATTAAAATTGCAGCTTCGAATTTAACCTCAAAACGACCGGAAAGTTTTTCCCGATAATTTTATTCAATTATTATTAATTATAAAAAAATAGAAATTTAATCTTGACTTGCTTGCTACCCTCGCACTTGTCCATTAATCAACTCATTTGGATGTTCTAGTAAATTGCTCAATCGACAAGAAAATTGAATGTACGTTATTTCTGTCGCAAAATTTTTGATAAATATTTTGCCAGACAACTGCTTAACTGCAGTACTGGTACAAATTACTAAACGAAGGCAATTTAATAGTATTTGATTATAATCATAGAAATTGGATGAGCTATTGGTCTAAAATTAAAATTCTGGTCTTGATTGTCCGGAGCCACTTTACTAAACTTGTTACTTACCAATATACAAGGTGTGTCAGAAAAACTTCAAGTATAAGGTAAGATACCAGGAACATGGAAAAAATGTTTAAAAATTTTATCTGTCAAAAAATGTTGACGTTAATTTTTGACATTTGACATTTTTTTATGTCTATTTAATAATACTGATAATCTTGTATATGTTTTTTTTTATAATTACTTAGTATAGGTCCAAAATTTTTTCCAATAAAATAATAATTCTAATAGCCTGTAGCAAAAAAACTTGGAAAATTTTCAACCGAAATAAATAGTCAAAGTGCAAAAATTAAACTTTCATAACTTCTAAATTTTTATAGTTAGAATTTTTTTAACATTTTTTCTATGTTCCTGGTATCTTACCTTACATGGCGAGTTCTAGCGCACCTGTAATGCGTGTTTTCAAAGAACAGTAAGGTTATTGGAAACTCATCTAAGTTGGTTGACAACACGTTAAAAATTGTGAACTAATTAAAATAATATAAATCTTGTTAATTGTTGAGGAAGTATCTTATTCTGTAGAAGCAAACAAGTTATGGAAAATTGAATATTTGAAATATTGTGAAATGTGAAATGTGTACCCGACTGAGAATACCAAAGCTTTTTAAGTAGAAATACAAAAAGTACAAATCAGTTTTATTGTTATTTAAATTAAAATTGCAAATCGAAATTGCAAATTAAAAATTATATAAGAAGTAATTACTGAAATTGAAAATAAAAATGATTAACAAATAACGATGTAAAAGGATTACCAATTAAGCAATTACAATAACAAGTAGACCTAACATTTGTTATAAAAAGTACCATTTTTTATTTTTTAATAATACCTACACCTTTGTTGTTAAAATCGAAATTAATTATTTTAATTACACAAGTTGTTCGTTGTTAATTTCGCTAATGACCAACTCTGAACTTTTCTGTCGATCGCGTCAGCATTAGATATTAAATTCTAACGGAAGTTCTATTTGATATAAAGAAAATTTTTTGCGTGGGTTTATTAGGTACGATTTTGTCGAAAAATAGCAAATTTCAAATTTATTTACGGAAAAATTGATGTAAGTTTCTGATTGTTTAGGAATACTCAGCTTTCAAGAAACTTTCAACAATGCAAATTACGGAAAATTTATAATAAGGTTCAATGCATTGCTGAAGTAGCATGACTGATGTTGCAAAAGTTTTTGCATTTCCTGTGTTAACGTATGTCAGCATTTCCACAATGTTTTAAACCGGAGATTTTCAAAGTTTCGTCTGGGTTTCATTAGCAGTATTTGTGTTAGGAGTGAACTTTTTTTTATTTCCAGTCATGCGTATCAGAAACGTTTTGGAAATAAAAAGAAAATGAAAAACTTGCTTTTTTTCATTTAGAAAAAAATTACAAGAAAACGTTAAAATATTTCAGAATGAGGAAACCAGTCAGATTGTACCCAACTATTTTAACTAATTTTCTAAATATTTTTACAAATTTTAAAACCCTTGTTAATGTTAATGAAAAGTTATAATAATGTTGGCGTAATTACCTCGATGCACCACTTTTCTGATAACTAATAAATTTTCCGCAAAATAAACAAAAAACTACATACAAAACACATTAATAAAAACGATAATAACAATTACCATCGATTAATCATAAAGGATTATCAGCTGAAAGTAATTGT